TCTCTCCGTTAGGAAGTCCTACCGGGATCGGCGTTATTGCATAAACATCAGACAATAATTTAATATTTCCTGTCATATGATGGGAAGCACCGGAGTCCACAATCCAATAAAAATATTTCTCACCAGAAAGGCGCTCGTCACCGCCTTTATTTCCACCAAGCAAATCAAGCAGCTTCGTCCACTGATCCTCATTAAGACCCGCAAGTTCATGGCGATCTATTGCAGGACCAACATCTGATTGTTGACCACGTCCCTCAGTCGTAACACGAGTTATATTAACCCGCGCACTGCCCCCTCTTCCGCGTCCTGCGGCACCTCCTCTTCGGCCTCTATCGGTACTTCTTTCAATGCCTCGAGGTCTCTCTCCCCACCACTCCGGGTATCCAATAATTTGATAACAAGATTTACTCTCATGGCCAGATTTTCCACAATGTCCACAACTCCCGAGTTTTTCCTTTCCACGAACTGTTACAGCACTCGTATTTGAGCCAATCCGAGCAGCAAACCCCACTACATCTCCTCGTTCGTCTTTGCCTCGAGCCATATTGCGATGTCGCTCTTCTTGAATAATAATCGAATATGTTCTATTCACAGATGGTAGTGGTTCCATGCTCAAGATATTGGAACGTACTGTACCGTACACCGCATCATCAAGACCCATCAAAAATTGATGGACTTTCTCTTCTTCTCTCTTTCGTTCAAGTGTATCAGAGATATCACACTTGCATCCGTTGCATCGACACGTGGGTATCGGGTCGTAGTTCACCAGCTCATCCCACATCATCTTCAGCCGACCATAGTATGACATCACTGCTTGTCCTTGTTGTTTACATGCGGCCAAGTCAGTTTTCAATTGATGGACGCGAGGTCCGTTCCCAATAGAAAATCGTTGACGTAGATCTTCCCACAAATCCCTCACGTTTTCCATATAGGTGATGGTGGAACGCAAGGATGGTTCGATCGTGTTTAAGATCCAAGCCACCAACATCGAATTCACCATCCACCAATCTTCAATTTCGGTGGAGTCCTCTGCTGGTTTCACCAATGTTCCATCAACGAACCCAAGTTTCTTTTTCGCTCGAAAAGCGTTACGCATCGATCGGGCCCATTCTTCATAGTTTTCCCCTTTCAACTGAATGTGCGAGATGAGAGATCCTGGATTATCGGATGGGTGTAAAAGGTACGGCGAGATAACAACTGTCTGCCCCTTTTCAGACCCTCCACTGGTCTTCTTCTCCTTCTCATCGCCGGTCATGGTTCTTCACACACAGCGAATTTATTTCTATTGCTTTGTACGCCCCGGCTCTGGTACCATGTGAAATTTCGGGGAAAAGTTTTTCTCGTTTTATTCATCTCTCGAAGAGTACATATATATAGAGTAAACCCTATGACTTCTCTTACCATACGTAAAAGATTACTTATCAAACTAAAACACTAACTCATAACCTAAATCACACATACACGGCAATTATATATCTATTAACATAGATATATACGTATACTATATATACCTATATATTTATATATAATATATCTCAACAGCCTACAAATTACTTCGCTTTGGTCCTGAGGAGGGTTGTGCTATTTGCTTCAGCCGTAGTGGCTGTGGTGGTAATATTTACAAGCAACAAAACAATAAAAGATTCGACCACAAATTATTCCATTCCAGATTCCTGTGCTGCCTTCTTTCGTTGCCAAATTCAATCACTCGTTAACTTTCATGTAAGTTTTATTATTATTATTATTATTATTATTATTATTATTATTATTATTATTATTATTATTATTAAGAAAAAAGACTAAAATAGCTGCTCATACTTTAATATGCTCCAATTTCATCCTTAATTTAATTTAACCTCAATTTGACCCCAAATTTCACAAATTATTCAATTTTGACCCAAAGCCTTTTTTTTCAGAAAAATTTTTCAAAAAAAAGTTTTTTGCCGCCACTCTCGGGCATTGACTTTCGATTTTTTTTTCCTTCAATATTGCTGTGATTGACAGTAATATTAACTATATTACTGTTAAACATAGTAAAATTAACCAAACTACAGTTTAACACAGTAATATTGCTATATTAATCTCTAGCACAGTAATATTAACACAACAAAACTCTATTTATTATGTAATAGAATAATATTACTATGTTGACCGTTCAACAAATGTAAACATAATACAAAACCAAAAGAATTAATATTACTGTGAGTGACAGTAATATTACTATAACAACAGTAATATTACCGTCAACCACAATAATATTACAATAATAGACAGTAATATTATTACGTTACTCCGAGAATAACTCAAACAAACAAAAAAATCCAAACAAAATAATAATATTGATGTGGTTGACAACAATATTACTATAACAACAGTAATATTACCGTTAACCACAATAATATTATTATGTTTACTGTAATATTACAATAATAGACAGTAATATTATTACGTTACTCCGTGAATAACTCACACAAAACAAAAAATCCAAAAAAATAATAATATTCATGTTGTTGACAATAATATTATTGTGTTTACAGTTATTTTACTGTTAACGCCGGTAATATAATTACGTTGACTTGTCAACAAATCAAACAAAAAAAAATAACAAAAAAAAATAAATAATAATATTACGTTAATTTACTGTCAACGGCAGAACAATTACATAAATGTATTGTCAACGACAGTACAATTACGTTAATTAACCGTCATTGACAGTATAATTACTGACAGTATAAATACGTTAATTTACTGTCAGTGACAACACAATTACAGTCAACGTTTAGCGGCGGACGTAAAAAAAAAAATCTAAAAAAAGTCAACGCCGGAAACCGGCGAAAAAATCCGGAAGGAAAAAAAATTGAAAAGTCAATGCCGGACGGCATTGACCGCCGGTCAACGCCGGAATCCGCCGGCAATTTTTTTTTTTTGAAAAATAAGAAGTCAAAATTGGATTTTTGTGGACAAAAATGATTAAATTTGGGTTACAATTAAGAATTGGGTATAAATGATTGGGGGTAATATTGACATATACATGAATGTTTCCTTTATTTATAATAAATATTAAAGGGATGGGCTTTTTGGTGAAAGAGATATGTCCCCTAAACCTAGAATAATAAAAATGTTTGGTTGGAGACTTATGCACAAAAACCCCTTCTTGATATACGTGCAACAGTATAAAAGAACAAATACTTTTAAAACGGAGGGATTGGAGTAACTACTTTAATAGTTCAATGACTACAATAACGAATCAACAAATTATTTGTTTCAGCATCACATATATTCCTAAAAATACATACGTTATTAGTTGTATTGTATAAAAAATTGAAACAGGGTTTCAACTATGATGCAGATACTTTTTAGCGGCACTCTTAGTTGCAGTTGTGTGCATCATCATTACCAGCCTCTTATCATTCTACGCCCTCCTCCGTCGATTATATACGAAGTTGTCGTCCTGTTTATTCGGATCCAATTTTATAAGTAATATCTTAGAAGAAGAAGAAGAAGCTAAGAAGAAGAAGAAACAACAGGTCGAGGAATATTAGTAGGAGTAGGAGTAGGAGAAGAAGAAGACGACTCTGAAGACGATGAAGAAGATCCAGAAGAAGAAGACGATGAAGAAGATTCTGAATAAGAAAATGAAAAGTACGATAATAAGAAATAAGAATATTTATCATGTGCTTAGTTGAATTTTGTTTTTTTTTTTGAAGTGTAACTTTAGTTTCATCTCTTTCTTTTTAAGACTTTGACTCAAGTTTTCTTGCATTGTTACTTTAAAAAATTGTTGCACTTATTTCCTATTAAGTAGATGATTGTAGCTAAATTCTAATCTACAAGGCCTTTATTTTGGAAAAGGAAAATACTTGGTAGACGACCACTACAACAACAAAGCAGTAGATTCTTGAGAAGTGATGCATTGTGCTACAAAGTCCGTTGTTGCCCAAACCGTCGCTTCGTCCATTATGGCATGTAACTATTACGTCGTCATTTGAATGACCGGCTCTGAAGATCCCGCGGTTTTAGACGCTCCAGCAATTCTTCTTCTTCGAGGTGGATCCGTGATACCATTGGTACCTTGAGGTTGCAGGTCCGCCTTGACTACCTCGTTTCGTGACACGCGATCTAGTTTGCATTCTCATAAACGGCGCCAAAATGATGCTCCTAAAATGTAAATTCAAAAATCCAAGAGTCTTTGAGCCCAGGAGAATAGAGAATCGTTTATGAGGTAGTTGTTAGTGTTCTGAAAGTGCACTAATACTAGAGACTAAGAATCAAGCTAATGTTGGGCATTTGCATGTAATGTTTATTATCTTTTCGTATTTTATGCTTTTAGTTTAGTTTTTATTTTATTTTATGCTTTTATTGTTATTCTATGCATTTATAGGTAGTTCATGAATCCGAGGAAACATTAAGGCTCGAAACGAAACCTAGGCAACGTGGCAAAGAAGTTGGAAAAATTAGAAGTGCGAGAATTTACCGCTCTAGCGATAAAAAAACTAAGAAAAACATATGTTTCTGCTGCTCCAATGGTGCATTTAGACAACAATTTCTTCGATTCAAAATCTGCAAGGCTGAAATGAAGAATTGAGTCTTAGGAGAAAAGTATTTCTCCTCTTCCCCACTCTTTAATCCGGTTAAGTTATTCCCAAATTCGATACGCCACCAGAAATTTCTCCAAAGGTAATTTTCTTGATTTTTTTTTAATTAATTAAATAGTTTATTTTGAGTTGAAAAGACAAAAAACCCACATGATCTAGGCATGTGCCTCGCGCGAGCACTGGAATATTCCAGTTTCATCTGAAAATTAGACATAAGTAGTTAAGCGGCTCAAAATAACAAATTTGGGCGTGCCCATGAAATTGTTTTTCACTAAGGTGGCATTGTGCAAAACCGGGCAAATATGAAACTAAGATGAATACATGGAACTTGATCATAGCCAGTTGTAACATTAAGTAATCTAAAATAAATAAGAAAAAAGTTAAAAGAATCTTGGCTTGAAGGAATGAAGAATCCAGTTTTAGGACATGATTAAAAAAAAAAGTCAGAAATTGAAACATCTCTTAGAATACAATAGATATGCATACAGTCATCTAATCTAGATTAAAGTAACAATATCATCACATTTCTTTTCCACTTTTGTTTCTTTATAAATAAATACATGGTCAACTTCATCTACACAACTGTCGATAAACTTATCAAAAAAACGAACTTCCACAAATTCTAGAAACTTGAATATTACCTCGTCGATATGCTGCAAAGAAGAGGCTAACAATCTTCATAACCTTGTTAATTGTTTCATTCTTGATTTGGTCAAAAACAGCAGTGATAAGAGTATTTTGTCTACGAGTCCAGCTCAGAACCACCACCCTCATCGTCATTAGATACATTTATCGATGGGAAGAATTCTTCATTAGGATAAATCTCCTTAAATATCTACCAAAACAAACACCAAAAACTCGTTGGCTTGTTTACAATGACTTGACGCATAAAATGAAGCAATTTTAAGATCATAAAACACCCGTGTTTTCTAATTACCATGACTAACTAAGTAAATTACAAAATATTAGTAGAGGTTGGACTTGAGAAATATTACCTTCTCTGTTGCATCTAAGAGATCGGTATAGTGTAGATGCTCATCTGGCATAGGCGTTTTGCTGATGGAGTCTAACCCACCCTGAAACTGGATGCCATAAACGACAAAATCACGAATAAGGAATTCAGACTAAGAACAGTAATCAGCAAAGCAAAGAAAAATAATAACTAGCAATGATTTCATCTACCGTCTTCTTTAAACGGAATCGATACCAGATAATGCGGTTGGCAGAAAGCAAGATGCTACTTTTTTCTTTTTCTTTTTTTTTTAATTTTTTAATTATTGCGTTGCTGTTTTCTTTTACCTTTCAAATGAAAAGAAAGGCTACACATATTTAAATTACATCAAAACACTACTGGGAGCAAATACACATTTATTACAAATTAAACAATACATGGAAAAGTGAAGGAGAATAGGCAAACCGTAGTCAGTTCTTGAATATACAAGGTGCTCCAAAGCAAACACGGCTTTTCTTCGGCGTGCTCACTTAAATTAGACGCCCCACTATTTTCGGAGTTACCAGAAATAGGCACAGAGAACAGTGCATTTATGGCTGCATTTAGTAATTTCTTTCCTTGTACATTATCATCACACATTGCTGATAGGTAAGTCACGAACCTGTTTATAAGGTGGATAATGCAACAAATGTCAAATGATATGTTCCACTAACATTTGTTGATCCGTAAAAGCAGCAAAAAGATAAAAAAATATCCAACAATTTCATCAGAAACGAATATTTGAATTGTTTTAACTGCGAGAATGTAGGTTTAAAACAAATTCATATTCAGCTTCGAAATTGATGGACTTGTCCATTTAAATGATACCAAATGGCATATAAGATATTGGACTTACATCCCAGAGGGACAAACAGCGACATTGCTACTCAATTGGAGTACACGGACTGACGTACTTTGTTCTAGGTACAAAGCTGCACAAGAAGAAGATTTAGTGAATGAAAGATATATAGGTAAATTACGGCCACCCCCTCAGGTAAGGTTAAATTACTAAAAAACCCCTCATGTTTGGGTAATTACAACCAACCCCCTCAACTATGAATCTTCTTACACTTCATCCCTTATGGTGTCAAATTCAACAATACAATGGTGGACATGTAAGAAGATTCATAGTTGAGGGGGTTGGTTGTAATTACCCAAACATGAGGGTTTTTTTTGTAATTTAACCTTACCTCAGGGGTGGTCGTAATTTACCCAATATATATGTGATTAAAATAAATAGCTTACATCTGGGAGGGAAGAACACAAGGCAGTTAGCAACTTGTGTGTTGAGGGAATGCTTTGTAATGCATATTCCTCGAGCAACCTTCTTTGTATCTGATAGGCTGACATCATCAGAATTTGCCACCTGTGCATCGTGATTCGGAGTTGATGGAATTGTGAAAGAGGGAGCAATAATCAGCTTAGGGCTGAACAACTCCTGACCAGAAACTAACTTGATGCCCTTATACTCACCACTGTCCTGTGATGAAAAACCCATAAATATGAGGATCTACATAATATTTTCATAAATGCCACACGACCAACTGGTCAAGCAATTATGCAATGATTCGAATGTTACACCTCTCAATTCTCGTCCGTAACTCACTTATAGAAAACAAGAAACAAAATTCATTCAAACCTTATCGTTGAGTATTGCAACTACTGGCATTCGCAAAACCTGCATAAAAAATCAATAGCGAACAAGCACATCAGAAAGAAGGAAAAGAGGACCAAAAAGACACACACACACACACACGACTAATATAAATGATAAATTGTGGCAGAGAGAGTATTTTAGTGACACAGTAATTGATAATCATAATAACTGCAAGCAGTGGCAGTAACCGATAATCATAAATAATCCAAAACAATCTAACTATACTTACATAAATGCACCCCTTGACTGCAGCACGGCGACAAAAGGCTTGAGGAAGTTCCCCTTGACCGTAAATGGGGTAAATTATCGCCCCATTTGCATTAGGAAACCTAAACATGTTGAAAAAACATTCTAATTAATTACGATTATTTAAATCATTGCAGTACCTTTTTCAAGTAACCTGATAAATAATCGCTTTTTATTGCTAAAAACACAAATATCCATGTATACTTTATAACCATTTAATCCAGGATTTACTGATTAAGCTACTGCAATTATTAAAAATAACTTGTAATGATGCCGGGATCTGGTTGAAACTGGAGGAGATTTCTCAGTAATAGTTCATCAGTTTTGTCTTATTAGAGATGAAAGTAACTATACTGGTAATAATCAATCAATTCTTTACTGTCAGTCAATATAATGTATGAAAATCCAGACTATTCTACACAAGTCTCGTAAAACAGTGTGTGATTATTAAATGTACCGTGATTGAAATTTATAATACTCTGTCATTGAATCTCTCGGGAATGCTTAATGAGGCTTACGTTCTATTTTTCTGAAGCGTTTACAATTCTCCAGCAGGTGTTGTCATATTTGCCGGTAATTCTCGTGAAACTGGCTTATCTCAGTTTTACAAGACTTTTCCTAAATATTTAATTTGCACGATAGCGACACTTCAATTTTGTTCTTATTGACCTTTTGGTTACAACTTACAGCTGCTCAATGGTATTGTATAATGCAACAGCATAAGGAACTAATCATAAACGAACGGTTCCTTCGACTGGACCACTCTACTCCCAGGAACGATCCGTTTTATCTGTTAATATTTTTTATCCATTTTATCAGTCATCTCAATGTTTTCCATGAACAAGCATATCGAGTTTCTACTATCTAATCTACTCTTTATAATGCATCTACACTAGTATATAGTTAATTTGGTTGCCTTGGATAGTTACACCAGCAGGTGCTGTCGTTATTGTTTGGTTGAACCAAAGAGGGCTCTTTATAATTCAATTACTAATATTCATCTTTTCTTTCTACAGTTTTTGGCCATTAATAAATTCTGTTTTCTCAGCAAATCATTCAAGCAATTCCGGGAATTTTAAAATGGGACACGAGGGTAAGAATTTGACCTGCCAATGGACGAGTGGTAAAGTGCCAAACGGCTTATCCCACTTTTAGTGCTGATTACATCTTTACAAGCTTCCAAGTTTTCCTGATCGTAATCAGCCAGCACTATCGTGTACAAAATAATCCTGTAAGAATATATTACAAATAAGATTACAAACCCAATAATACAAACACAACAAGAGAGGAAAATCGTTAACTATTTGAAAATGCAAATTTTGCATCCGAAAAATTCAGAAACCATCGTCATAATTGCAACGAAGCTTCTGTTGAAACTACTAATTAAACAACCTTTTCGATTTCAGACCCTGATTTTCTTGGAGAGAAAAATTGAGATATAATAGAAACAATCCAACTTAAGACATTCTTCATCCTTGTATCGAGTCGTTGAAACTATTAAACCAACATTTGGAACCCTAAATAATCAATCCAAGAAAAACGATCCTGTGAAATACATACAATCAGTTATCATAACACATTCTAATGTAACTTCAATATCTAACGATTTAATATGACAGCCTCCTTCAATCCGAGAAATTAAGGAACATGCTATATAAATCAATTGAAAGAGTGAGAAACATCAGCAACCAAAACAAAGAATAAACAAATTAAAAAAGGAACCCTCACTAACAGAGAGAGAAATAGAGTGAAGAATTTATCGATGTGTACGATTTTAGCTTCTGCGACAATCCGATTTTGGTCAAGAACTCCACGAAAGGACTCTCCAAATCCTGATCAGAGATCTTATCATCCTCGGTTTCATCGTCGCCCAAATGCCGCTGCACGAGCTTGAAGAACTTCATTAACTGATTCTTCTCGGTTAACGACAAACCCCGATTCTTAAAGATGGCGCTCCTCGAATCGGGCACATTCTCCAATCCGCCATCCGCGCTGCTGATAAAGCTGGCGTCAACACTCTTGAACTCCATGTACTGATTAATCCCCGTCTTGAGAATCAAATCGATCATCGAGTCGGAGCAGAGCAACACACGTGGACCGGCCAAATCGAGGTTGAATTTTCTGGAATTTTCTGTGGGTTCGGAGGAGTAGGAGTTGGTTTCGACGGCGGAATAAAGGGGGCGAGTCGCAACAGGGGTAGAAACATAATCATCGGAGGTTAGGTTTCGGGATTGGGGTTGGGATTCGGATTGGATAAAGGGGATGAAGTCGTTTAGGGGTAGGGAGGCGGAGTGGGAACCGTAGAATGGATTGGAATCGAGGTGGAGGACGGTTTTTCCGGCGGCGGAAGCGGCGGAGGCGACGATGGATTCGGGGAGGCCGGTGCCGATTACGATGAGATCGAAATTGGAGGGATCGATTGGTGGGTATGACTCAGCCTCCTCCATCGCCAGAGTTTTGAGGTTTCAATTCTGCCTGTAAAAAATGACTGAAACTGAAAATAATTAGACTTAAAAATCAGTAAATCGTAGAGGTTTACGGATAATTAGTTTCCGAGGACGAGCTGGTGGATTGGGCGAGGTCCGTTGCTAGAAATCTTTTTGTAAAGTTGGCTAAAAGAAGCGGCCCTAAACATAAAACGTACCTGACTTGTCACCTATTTGGGGCGAAACGAGATACACCATCAATTAACCCAACTGCGCGCACGAGAAGATGGACTGGTAGAAAAATAATTCATTGTGGTTTTCAGGTCGAGGGAGTGAAACGGTTGGATGATAGAATATTATATGGGAAGCATAATCATTATCCGGTATATACGTCTGGGCATGGGATGAGTCCATTGTTTCATAAGTACAATAATGCACATGTTGCATTTAGATATGGCACTTATGGCGCTAAAACTTCCTCATCCTCCTCCATGGGACGCAATGAATCATTGGACCTATTCCACTGTCGAACTTCCATAGGTGTTACTCGATAATTTGTCTTTATCCATAACATCTTCTAGATGTAATTCGATTGACGGACACAAATCTAATCGACATGATAAATTAAATCGGTAGAGACAACAAATGAGTCTCCTTTAGATCTTTGATCTTGAACTCAAATTTTCAACAATCGAATTTTTCTTACTTGACTTCTTCGGAGTCCAAATCAAGTCCATTTCCTTAACATAAATTGTAGTAATAGGAACAATAAAAACCAATTATTGTTCACATATTCTCTTCCGAGCAATTATTCACATAGGAAATTGTCATATATTCTTTTGGAATATTTCAAGCCATAATTATAGTGAACGCCTCAGCCTAACTGAGTTTATGTTCCGTAGTCTGGAACTAATTGTCTCGGGAAAACATAGTCATTCACGGACTTTCATATAAATATTTGTATCTAGATGGTGGTAATACATGGTCCACGTATATCTTCTTGGATCACCTCCAAGAAAGGATTTGAATCATTACATGTGTGTGCATATGCTGAAATATAATCCAATTACGTGATTTCGAACAATCGGCAACTTATGCTTTTGGCATTCAAATTGTGGTTCTACACAAGGTTGTAAAAAGCGGTAATCGGGTCGGAGGCGGTCAGGCTCATGATTAATCGGTGCGGCAGTGATAAATCGGAAATAAATCGGTTTTTAAAATTTAATATAATATATTTCTAGTTATTTATAAATACTCAAAACATATATAAAAAAAATATTTAAACATAGTTATATCTTCATCATGTATATATCCTAATAACATAATAAAACTTTAATAATAACAAGATCATAATACATAAATATCCTTATAAAATATAAATAAACAAGCAATTTTTTTTGAATTTACATTTATTCTTGAACATTCCTGCCATACATCATTAGTTCTTTAACAATAACAGTTAACATAAACAAAATAAAGCATAAACTCATTTTTTTTTTATTAAAATCCCAACTTTTATTTTTAATTATATATAAAAAATAAAAAAAATAAAACCGATTTTTGCCACCGAGTTTGACCCGCCTTAAAGGTTTGATCGCTTCAAACCGCCCAAAACCGCCTCACAGGCAAAAGACCGATTTTTCAAACCTTTACACTAGAATCGTAAAAGGTTTGGGACCGCCTCCGCCTCGAAGACCGATTAATCGGCCGCCTCGGTCGATTTTTAGAACACTGGTTCTACATAACCGTGTCGAAAATTCCTCTAATTTTCCCAATGTACGCTTCTGGTCGTACACGTTAGAGGTGATGCAAATATATTTGATTTCTTTTCTTCAATGGTTTCAACATAATAACCATTAGCTCAAATATTTCTAAAGCTCAACAACGTTCTACTGGAACGTGGAAGAAAAAGAGCTACTTTAATGGCAAAAGTTGTGCCATGAGATAACATAATGTGGACATTACCATAACATCTATCAAAACTACATGTGCCTCATTTAGTTATCAGAGAGGTCATTGCTAGTGCTAGACATGAAATTAATAAAATACGACTTATCTCTAAGGATAGTATGTGTAGTCGCATTATCTGCCAAACATTTATCCCACATGTCATGTCAAGAGAGTTATATATTTTCAGGTTCTAAATAAATTCAACAAGCAAACACCAGTAGATAACATAATGAGTAATTTAAAACATATAATCACATAAATATATGGTCAATAGCATAAACTAAACATAATCGACGTACGAATATGGTTCGTAACATGATCATATGAAATCCAATAAACTGATAAAGTAGAGACATAAAATAAAGATAATGCGTATTTTATGAATCAAAAGTTCAATCATATCCCAATATGGGTCATTTGCTCAGATGTGCCGAAGTATGGAAGTTGAGCGACGGGCTACACATTGAAAACATTAGTATCTACCAAGTCAATCTATGATGGTGCATTATTATTTGCATCTCCAGCCACAACGTTCCTCGTACTACAGGTGTGTAACCAATGCTCAGATCCAGCACATATAAAACATATATCTATGTTTTGATTTTTCTCTATTCGGATTTTAAAGTTCATATACAAATCATTTATGAATTCACTTGTTCCTTGCTTCAGGCAAATGTATGACTTTGTAATCAAGACGACTAGTCAGTGTATCCCATTCTTCAGAGGACCCTCGTTCGATGAATAGCCCAAACGAAGGACTTCATCTAACTATCTCCTAATTAGAAACACAGTCTCGGCCTTCCTTCCGGGCTTTACTTAATAAATTATCCTCGAAAACAACCATTCTCAATTGCTTACTAAGCGTATGGATCTTAAATTCCATTCTCCAACTAATATAAATTTCACCGGATACATTAAGTTGGGTAAACTCGAGTTTGCTCATGTGTTTCATCTCAAATCAAATACACATGGAGTATTATTGTTTTATGGGAATGTAACCTCCATAAACAATTTCATGAATATATTTAACTTATTAGAACTTCCGGTCTAATAATTCATATACCACATGTTCATACACATTCATGGATTTCATAAGATAAACCATTACGACGAACGAAATATTGCTTACCATTTTTGTATCACAAAATTACATATGGTAGATAAATAATTAATCAATTGAATAGAATTCTCCATTAAGGATAGACCAAAGTCTTCATGCAATTAAGACAATGAAAATTTGACAAACATCAAAGACATAGCATGCTCAATAGTATTGGTATAAAAGATAATCAAAACCGTATAACTTGCCACGATATAAATCATAATTATCATGTATATATAACTCATACAAATTCCATGAACCAATTTGAAATGACTGAGATAGTTAATTACCAATTAACTAAACAGATCCATAATGCAAAATTCATACAATCACATTGGACATAAGTGATATTCGTAAAGAGCATGAAACAAAAGAATATATCACCAGATTTTATCACTTTCAAACATTCACATCATCACATATAGCAAAATACAGAGAATCATATAGCGTGATTCAGACGGCCAAATTCATAACAATATTACATACTTGAACATGCAATATTTTTGCCCAATAGTAAGATATCAATTACCTTTCCACGAGCACCTCGAATTCTTCGAGTATCCTCGCTCCACGAACGATTGTCTTTCCACGATAACGGCGACTCGGCGAGCACTTCGTGTTGATAACGTGTTGTAGAATAGCATGTTCTCGTAACTCTTTGGTTTGGTGATTGTGGAATATAGTAATACACAAGAAAGTAAATACAATAATACAGAGATGGAAAGAGAGAACATAACTGAATAAGATCCGAAGAGAGATAATTGTGGGGATTAATGAGGAGGGAGTTTTTCTCATTAATATAGGGGTAAACCACCGGAAGTTACAAATAGGAGTTACAAATGGATGTTCCATGGAAGTTATTTCCTACACACATCATGGGACAAAGATGTAGGAAGTTTACACTAGTGGGAGGTTGAGATAACCCTCAAAGTGGTTAAGTTAGGAAACCCCAAATTCTAGATTATTTACAACAATAACGTTATTACCATGTAGTTATTATTTGATTTTAGGGCACCCATCAATGGGTACTTATTCATAAAGAGATCCAGACAAAAATCTATTTTACCAATAAGTCCACACATGGTCCAGATTATTGTAAATGACTAAAATAACCTCTCATACTTTAATATGCTCCAATTCATCCTTAACTTAATTTAACCTCAATTTGACCCCAAAATTCACAAATTATTCAATTTTGACCCAAAAATTTTTTTTTTCAAAATTATTTTTTTCCCGCCGGATTCCGGCGTTGACTTTTTTTTTTCTTCCGGATTTTTTCGCCGGTCTCCGGCGTTGACTTTTTTGATTTTTGATTTTTTTTTTTTCCTTTCTTTGTGTAACTTTTTTTTTCGTTTAAACAACAATATTGCTGTGATAGACAGTAATATTAACTATATTACTGTTAAACACAGTAAAATTAACTAAACTACAATTTAACACAGTAATATTGCTATATTAATCTCTAGTGCGGTAATATTAACATAACAAAACTCATTATTATTGTGTAATAGAGTAATATTACTATGTTGACCGTTCAACAAATGTAAACATAATAAAAAGGCAAAAGAATTAATATTACTGTGAGTGACAGTAATATTACTATAACAACAGTAATATTACCGTCAACGACAGGAATAATACAATAATAGACAGTAATATTATTACGTTACTCCGTGAATAACTAAAACAAACAAAAAAATCCAAACAAAATAATAATATTGATGTGGTTGACAGCAATATTACTATAACAACACTAATATTACCGTCAACCACAGTAATATTATTGTGTTTACAGTAATATTACAATAATAGACAGTAATATTATTACATTACTCCGTGAATAACTCAAACAAAACAAAAAAACCCAAAAAAATAATAATATTGATGTTGTTGACAGTAATATTATTGTGTTTACAGTTATTTTACTGTCAACGACAGTAATATAATTACATTGACTTGTCAACAAATCAAACAAAATAAAAGAAATAATAAAATATAAAAAATAATAATATTACGTTAATTTA